GGGCAAAAGTAGCAAGATCATTGTTTATCCTAGCAATGCATATTTTGTCATCCCAGAAAATACTGTGGGATATTTTTGCACTCGGGAAATTGAGATTCTTCAAAGGTGGGTACTTCTCTCTCTCCTTTTCTTTCTCACTCTCTCCTCTCTCTTTTTCTTTTGCTTTTGTTATACTTTGTTAACAAGATTATGATGTGGATGAATGTGGGTATCTTATTCCATTTTTTTTCTTGCTAGAGACTATAAACTATCTTACAGCCTAACCAGACTTGTTTCATTTCATTTCACTTGGTTTATTATGTTGGACTGGTGGTTGCATAGGAGACACTTTTATGGTGCTGTATTTTAAACTGGGCTGAACCCTCCCATACTCATTCTGTGCTGGAGACTTTGTAGACTCCATTTTGAATAATTTTCTAAACATCTTGGGCTCCACAAACAAAATACAAACAAAAGGGACACAAAAACTACAAAAACTTTGCAGCAAGAGTAGCACTAGGAAATGTAAATAAAGATGACCACATCACACCACACAAACAAACTAAAACTATCACGTACTCTAATCCATAAAATCATACAAGGAAATTACCCAAATTGACTATTTCCTATTAAGACATACTATGTTAACGGGTGTCCGTACAGGGTAAAAAGAGCTCAAAATATATCAAAAGATCAAATACAGAATGCAGAATTATGTAAATCTGAGGACTGGTGATCTGGAACCAATTACCAGAAAATATTAGAAATATCTGAAACCAAAAGACATTTGAAACAAAGCTGAAATAACATCTATTGAAATATTAATGACATCAGGCGTTTAAACATTTAACCAACATCACTTTTGATGTTAAGGTTCTGTCTAATCTTGTTAAGCAATCATTGTATAATATCTATGTATATAACATCTAATTACAAAATGTAAACACCATATGTTTAAATAAAATACCAATGTAATTAATGGAATAAAGTGTTCTGATTTGGAATTGGAATTTCCAAATCCAAATGCTCTTGTTGGAAGAGTCCATGGCTCCTGCTGCCAGCCATTCAAGTCTGGTCTGACTTTTGGTCTGACAGCCTAGAGACATGGACAATGCTACCAAGTTAGGTAAAGTTCTCTGTGACTTCAGTGTCCTCACCGCAAGCATGTATCAACTGAACAGGTTCCCCTAACAGGCCCTCACTGCAAATATGTATTGTCTGAACAGGTTCCCCTAACATGCCCCTAAAATCGTGGTTAGTAACATGGTCTGTGATCTTGATATTGCCCGCCTTGCTCCACAGTGGCTTTGGAGAGTAGCTCTGCCCATTATGCAGTCCATGCAAGTGTTGAAAAGTGTTGGTGCAAGGACTTAGCCTTGCCTCACTTGACAGGCCCCCACCACACAGGCTTGCTATTAAACCAATGATCCGTGTTGGAATTCCCCTAAGTCTCAGGATCTCCCATAGTGATATGACATGCACTGAGTCAAATGCCTTCTTGAGGTCGATGTTGGCTGCAGGAAGCCCATGACCAAATGGTGCTTCACAAGGACACAAAGCTCTAGGTCTATTGTGGACATACCAGGAGTGAATCCAGACTGCTCTGGTCACTGGTGCTGTTGTAGGTAGTCATGGATATGTTTCAGAAAATGCGGCAAAAATCTTGCCTGGGATACTGATACCATGTAGTTGCTACCCTTTCCCTTCCAGAGATTGAAGACAATGCCCCTCAAAAGCCTCTAGCTAGATGCAAATTCTGCTTGCTGATGAGGGGAGGGAGGCACATGTCCTGCTCAGGGAGGCTGGTCGGTGTCTTCACCCAGAGCAGAGATCTCTAAGCACATCCACCAAGAGTGAAACACATAGCACTGTCTACTGCTATGTGCTCCCCCCTCTCTCTCTCTCTCTCTCTCTCTCTCTCTCTCTCTCTCTCTCTCTCTCTCTCTCTCTCTCTCTCTCTCTCTCTCTCTCTCTCTTAATCTCTCTCTCTCTCTTAATCTCTCTCTCTCTCTCTTAATCTCTCTCTCTCTCTCTTAATCTCTCTCTCTCTCTCTTAATCTCTCTCTCTCTCTCTTAATCTCTCTCTCTCTCTCTTAATCTCTCTCTCTCTCTCTCTTAATCTCTCTCTCTCTCTCTCTTAATCTCTCTCTCTCTCTCTTAATCTCTCTCTCTCTCTCTTAATCTCTCTCTCTCTCTCTTAATCTCTCTCTCTCTCTCTTAATCTCTCTCTCTCTCTCTTAATCTCTCTCTCTCTCTCTTAATCTCTCTCTCTCTCTCTCTCTCTCTCTCTCTCTCTCTCTCTCTCTCTCTCTCTCTCTCTCTCTCTCTCTCTCTCTCTCTCTCTCTCTCTCTCTCTCTCTCTCTCTCTCTCTCTCTCTCTCTCTCTCTCTCTCTCTCTCTCTCTCTCTCTCTCTCTCTCTCTCTCTCTCTCTCTCTCTCTCTCTCTCTCTCTCTCTCTCTCTCTCTCTCTCTCTCTTAATCTCTCTCTCTCTCTCTCTCTCTCTTAATCTCTCTCTCTCTCTCTCTCTCTCTTAATCTCTCTCTCTCTCTCTCTCTCTCTCTCTCTCTCTCTCTCTCTCTCTCTCTCTCTCTCTCTCTCTCTCTCTCTCTCTCTCTCTCTCTCTCTCTCTATCTCTCTCTCTCTCTCTCTCTCTCTCTATCTCTCTCTCTCTCTCTCTCTCTCTCTCTCTCTCTCTCTCTCTCTCTCTCTCTCTCTCTCTCTCTCTCTCTCTCTCTCTCTCTCTCTCTCTCTCTCTCTCTCTCTCTCTCTCTCTCTCTCTCTCTCTCTCTCTCTCTCTCTCTCTCTCTCTCTCTCTCTCTCTCTCTCTCTCTCTCTCTCTCTCTCTCTCTCTCTCTCTCTCTCTTAATCTCTCTCTCTCTACCTCACTGTGTAGTGCAGCGGTAGCGATCTCGTCTAGCAATCTTGCTGACCAGTGGATGGTAACCCCGGCCATTCCTTGCACACAGGGATAATTTAGAAGCAAAATAAAACAGACATTATGTCATACCAAGAATATCCATTGTAACAAATGGAATCAAATTAAATTAATTAAATTAATCACTCTTTTTTCTCTCTCTGTCTGACTCTACCCCTCTCTCTCTATATCTGTCCTCCCTTCTCTATCTCTTTTTCCTTCCCTAATTCTCTGTCTCTGCCCCATCTCCTCCCTTCTCTCTCTCCCTTTGTCTCCCTCTGTCTATCTCCTACCTTTTTTCTCTCTCCCTCTCTGTGTCTCCCCTTCTCTCCTGTCTGGCTTCCCTTCTCTGTCTCCAATTCTCTCTCTTCCTCCCTCCTTCCTCTCTCTTTCTCTCTAAACTCTCTCTCTCTCTCTCCCTCCCCGCTCATATCTTTTCTCTCCTCTCTCTGTCAATCTGCTCTCTTTCTCCCCCTTTCTCTCTCTCTACCTCACTCTTTTTTCTCTCTCTGTCTGACTCTACCCTTCTCTCTCTATATCTGTCCTCCCTTCTCTATCTCTTTTTCCTTCTCTAATTCTCTGTCTCTACCCCATCTCCCTTCTCTCTCTCCCTTTGTCTCCCTCTGTCTATCTCCTACCTTTTTTCTCTCTCCCTCTCTGTGTCTCCCCTTCTCTTCTGTCTGGCTTCCCTTCTCTGTCTTCAATTCTCTCTCTTCCTCCCTCCTTCCTCTCTCTTTCTCTCTAAACTCTCTCTCTAACCCTCCCCGCTCATATCTTTTCTCTCCTCTCTCTATCTATCTGCTCTCTTTCTCCCCCATTCTCTCTCTCTTCCCTTCTGCCAATCTGTCTCCTCTTTTTTTCTCCCATTTTCTTTCCCTTCCTTCTGTCCGTCTTGCTCCTTTCATCTCTTTTTTTTCTGCCCATTTCAGTTTGTCTCTTCCTCCCTCGCTCATATCTCCCTTTCTCTTTTATCTTACTGAATGTGTCTCATTCTCCCTTCCTCTGTTTTCTAACAATGGAGTTTGGTTCTGTAATGTAAGGTGGATGTAAATACATTTCAGCATTCATTCTCTCCATGGCTCTTGTTACTAGATAACTTTAATTTTTCAAGTTCATTTTTCTTTTTTATTGCAAAAGTTCTAAGGACTCACAAAATGCTTTTTCATATTTTCTTTCTATGCAGAGCTTCATTATATTGTTCCTTGTGCAGTCAGGATGAGGAAGGACTGTTTGATGGCCCTTGTAAATGTGATAAGACTGGTAAGTATATGTGCATCAATATTTCCAGTTTGGTTATGATTCTGCAAGTTTGTTGTTAAAAAGGACATTTTCCATTAAGTAATATCATTTTTCTATACACTTTCGCTCTCTTTTATCTTTACAGAAAAGAGAAAGATGAAAGTTAAGACCCAGGATTTTGACAAGTATGTTTTTTTTTTTCTTTTCTTTTTCAGAGAATTATCTGGAATGATTATGATTTGTGGGTTTGTTTTTTTTTTGGTTTTAAAGTACAGTCAATTAGGACTTGTAAAATACTTGATTTTCAAAATTGACCAGCTATGAATACTTACTAAACTGTTGTATTCTCTGTACAGGACCTCACTCTGTGCTTCTGGTGCTGGACCTGCAAGACCTTTACAGACAGTAGATGAGAATTTTGTTGGCTCCTCTGAGAAAAAGTTTGAGGAGTTCATAAAGGTAATGTCTTAGTTGGTTCTTAATAAGCATATCCTTTGATTGCATGTTTCGTATAACCTGTAGATATCGTTTGTGGGCTGCAACTGATTTGTATTCCATTCAATTTTCTCTTCTTGTCAAGACACAAGATGAGCTGAAGGCTTTTGATTTAGACGGCCATGTAGTTGTCTTCGTCTTAGCCAATCAAGATTCGCCAGCCAGTGGACTCGAGAACCTATGCCACCCTTTGAGGTCCAATTGTGTCCATCCTTCTCACCTCCATAGGATCATCATCATAGGACCACTCGACTACCTGAGGAAAGAATGGGTCCAGTTACGGGGAATCCCTGAGATTTACTTTGCTGATGTGAGTTATCCAGCAGTTTTTGATGGTTGCAATAGTAGTGCCTTTTGGTTTGCCTTCCTGTAGAATTTAGATTCATTCTTTTTACTCATGCTGGTTCTCAAGTGGAGAGGTCATTCTAGACATGTGCATGAAAATATGTGCATCTCATGAGGTTTGTCATCATTCATTAACTTTGAAGTTGCTTCACTTCTTGTTTTTTCCATTTTCATAATGTATTTCTTTGCTGTAATAACTGAGGAGCAAAGTAAATTAAAATAATTTTGTGCAGGGTTATCCATGGGCCAAAGAAACCCTAGAGGTTGTGAAACTGGCCTCTTGCCAGATGTGTGTCCTCCTCAATGCTGGGCCAGAGAAACTGGATTCACATTTCAACTTCGCATTTGAAGTGCTGAAGGTGACTTCAAGTCAGTTAGTTCGCACCAAGAACAAGGCAGCTATGAGTGAGTACAATTGATTCTTTAGGGAACTTGTGATGTTACACATTATTTTTTAAAAATAATGTTAACCCAGAAAGGACAGTACATTAATTCTTGTTGTATTATCTAAAAATATTTTACAGTGTTTGGCGGTGCTCCCACAGTGAACGGACAGTGCAACTTCTGTAAGAGGCTTCCTGTTCTAGTGAGCCATATCACTGATGAGCCGATGACACCTGCCAATGACACCCTTGCAGTGGCCGTAGGATGGACAATTCCTCCTGCACTCTGTCTCTCTTTTGCATATTTGGTAGGGTTCTTTTGAAGCGTCACCTTATGTGTACTATATGTGTACTGCTGAAATTTTTATATTTACCTTTCTATTATCTTTAACCCAAATTAACATTTATTATTAATTATTTAATTATTATTTAATTATTGTTTGATTATTAATTATTATTAATTATTTATAGAACTATGACAGATCAGACATCCTCAGCTTTGCATGCACACTCCTGCAAGGCGGACTATCACCTGAATCCCTTGTGAAACAAAGTTGTGTTGGGTAAGACAGTGTTCTGTTTTCAGTATCCTCCGATAACAGTAAGATTCAAGTGATATTTCAAATATAACAACTAATATCAGTAAAACTACAGTTGGTAAATTTGTATTTTCTCATTGACTGTTTTTGCTCATCAGTTATGATCAGGTTCAAGTACGATTACTGGTTCCTCTAGATGCAAAGTGTGAGACAATCAATAATGGAGGAACATATGGAGAACTTTTTTGCCTCGCTCTGCATAACAACATGCTATGCCTTGGACTCTACAGGCAAGTCAACTTGAGTTTTTCTGCTGCACTTTATGATATATGAAGACTTATAGAACATATTCTGACCTGGGATACTTTACATTTCACTCACTTCCATGCACTACCACACACTAAAACATTGATACAATCTAGCAACATTTCACATAATCTTATATGTGGGTTTGTTTGTAAAGTCATATCTTGATGGCCATGAATTATGTGATTGATTAATTACACATTTTATGCAATGCAGTATGTAATGTAGGATATGTTACCACACATGTATTGGCATTATTGTGCAATTTCAAGCAGTGGTTTATCTTCAAAAATGTTACTGAATACCAACCATAATTAATGGGATAGGCTACCAAATGGATGTTGGCAAATGTTTACATCCTAGGTGTTTTAAAAGCAGTATTTAACAGTTCATTTTGATGCAGTTTTGTCATTTACAAGTAGGTGTATAGCTGTATGAAAATATTGTGGTCTCCTATACTAGTTTGAAGTTGACAGACACTGAACTAATGAAGGTATAGGAACAAAAAGGGTAAAGAGTGGGCCAATGAGTTAATAATTGAATGTGTTACACATCAAAAGGTGTGTATAATATTGAAAAAGGGTAAAAAGGATGAGTAAATGGGGTAAGGCAGGAATTAGCCAAAGAGAAAAGGAGCTGCTAAGGGCAATTAGATCAAAAAGAGGTTACAGGTGTGTAAGAGTGGAAACCATGAGTATTTCATCATAGAAGAGGTACCTTGGAACAAACAATAAGTGATAGGGTAAAAATGGGTGTCAGAGGAAGTAGAAGAAGACTCGAGAAATAAGACAAAGGATGGGCATTGTTGTGACAAAATGACAATGTTGTGACAATATTTGTGTGTCCATGAGACGAAGGAAAGGTGGTTGGTGTAGACGGAGCAGGGCGGGGGTTTTGAGAGGGAGTGGGAGGAAGGGGTGTAAGGGACATGATAAGGGGGAGGATGGATGTCGGCACTTGCTTTCAGTGTAGAGGGAATGATAAGAGAGATTTGAGTGTAGATGATGGCTGGACATGTCTTTTGGGTCCTGATTAGAAAGTTTGAAATGTCCTCATGGGTGTCTGAAAGGGAATTGGTTGGGGAGGTCCTCCCCTCATAAGAAAAACTTTTCAGAAGATGGGGCAACGTCTGAGGTACAGAGGAAGAGGTAGGTGTAGGGAGGATGTGGTAGAAAATGGGATGGAATTTAGATTGTCTGTTGCGATGGGTAGGTGAGGAGGAGAGCTAGAGGTTGGAGTGTCTGGATTTAGAATGGCTAAAGAATTCGACTGGGAGAGGGAGGAGAGGGACTGAAAAGG